GGGAGGAACCGGGGAAGGAAAGGGCGAATGGTGACTGTCTCCTCTCTGCAGCTTCTTCAGCCTATGAGAGAGGGGAGCGGGGAAGCAGGGGGCAGGCAAAACTCGTGGCAAGCCCAGACACGCCCAGGCATGCCCATCTCTTTGGGCTTCCCTGCCTTTTGCCAAGCCCAGTTCAATCTTCCTGGGAGCTGAAGTCCTCTCCAAGCTGCTGTGTGGTGTGGGTACAATGCAATACACATATTTGAAACCACATAATGAGGGTAAAGTCCATCTAACAAAGTCCTGTCAATTGCTGTGCGTCTTTCTCCACGCCTGGAACCGCTCCCATCCTGAATCTTGCTCCTTCACACCTGTCTTCACAGGGTAGTGAGAAATCTTTAAACTCTTAGGAGAAGGGGCTCAAGCCCCTCTTGCTAAATTTGAATCCAAGTGCCAAATCTTCTTGTGTTTTTGGCTGTAAGTCTGCACAGTAAGTCTCTGCTGATTCCTTCTAGCCCAAGGGGCTTCCTAGTGCAGAGGGGATGGGGAGCCCAACCTAAAGCTAAATCATATCACTGAGAGCATCATCCAGACACTCCTTGAACTCTGTCAGGTTGCCATGGATTGTCTTTGCCAACTCAGAGAAGAAGTAGCAGTTGGGTTAAGGGATGTCAGGGATGTGTCATCATCCATCTGTATCTCTTGGCTGGGACAGGGAGGCAGCCAGGGGCAGAGAGAGGGGAAACCTTTAGCTATGTACAGCACAGCAGCTTGGAGAGGACTTCAGCTCCCAGGAAGATTGAATTGGGCTTGGCAAAAAGCAGGGAAGCCCAAAGAGATGCCCACCCCACAGTTAGTAGTGTGGGGTGCTGTGAGGAAAGGTTGATTTACTCCCCACTGTGTGCTTCATGTAGCAGAGAGAAGCCAGAATTCCCAGGGGATGAGGGACCCCAGGGGTCCTTCAGGGCCCAGCTGCCATGCCTCGCATTTTTGAGATCGCCTGACCCAATTAGAGCTGCCTTTCCAGTGGCTCTGCTCTCAGGACAGTCAGCTTTCTCCTCCGCAGGAAACCTTTCCAGCTGTGAGTTTGCTGTGTGTGTTCCCTCCTCGGCGGTAACTGTCACCTCCCTCCTGTGTCCTGGCCTCCATCACCCCACTCTTGTCCCCAGCAGTCCCTGGTGTCGCCTGGACCCAGCCAATCCTGCCTGGTCACCCCTCTTTCCATCTCCAGGAGCTCTGTGGGGCTCTGACTGTGAGCACGTCCCAGGAGAACGCCTGCCTTGCTCTGGGTAAAGCAGGGGGGAATTACGTTGTACTACGTGAGTGACCTTTAATAGCAACACAGCTGCGATGTTAGCTTGGCTTTTACGCTGGGTAAAAGCCCCCCACAGCCATAATCTGATTTCTGCCAGGGTGAGGATCCCTGCTCCTTCTGAGCAGGGGATGGATGGACACTCAGCAGGGTGGAGCTTCAGCGTCTGTCTGATTAATTTTGGGATTCGATCCTAGGAAGTATATTAAGCCGGAGGGGGTTTTTTTTGTTTGTTTTTCATTTTGTGTTCATTATCTGTGTTTCTGCTTTACCTCCTCCTTCCCTTCCCCGTGGTGACCCGCTGCAGAATCCCCTCCGAGGGGTGCGCTGGGCTGTGGCTTCGCCGCCTGCCCGGGATGTGGCGCATCAGCGCGGGCCGGTGGAGACACCTTCTGGGGTTCAGCAGAAGTGGTCGAGACGAGCAGGGATGTTTCCTTTCAGGTGAGGACTTCAGGACACGCTCCATCATTTCGCCTCCCTCCCTTTCCTCGCTCTGCTCTTGACCCCGTGGAGGGACAGCGATGCCAGCGGGCAGAGAGGCCGCCAGCCTTGCCATGAGCCCGCCCTCAGGGTTCAGTTTTTGAGCCATCTCCTGCAGCCTTTGCCCTGAGGACAGACTGAGAATCTCTCTCTTCCCATGGCTAGAAGCCTTCTGCTTTCCTGTCTGATGCAAGCAGGAGCAGCCTGCTGCTTTCAGCTGTTTATGCTCAACCAGATGTGCTGTTCACCCTTGCAGCCATACTCTTTGTATTTACAAGTTCTTAGTGCTTGTCCCCATGAAAACATCTTAAAATGGTGAATGTCCAGATCCTGGCCACACAGATGGCTGGAACACATCTCTCCTCCTTTGCTCTTCGTTATGGGAGTCAACAGTTTTCTGCTTGCAGAGCTGATTTTTGAAGTAGCTGGTAAGATTGTCGTTGGTGCTGATTGCTTTAAGTAGCACCTCCAAATTACAGCTGTTGGGCTTGTTTAATTTTGAACAAAGACTACAAATTGGATTTACTGTTAGAGATACTGATTTGTTCAGAGAGACCTTTGGCTGGAGTCTGATGGAGAAGCATTTTTCTGTCTGATAGAGAATCAGGAGCTCACCCGATGCTTTTAAATCTCCCGACTGCTGTGCAAAGCATAAGGAAGGGGAAGACTTAATGGGTAATGTTCTATCATCTGTAAAATCAGTGCAAGCCAGAGTAACTCCAGCAAAGTCAGTGGAGACTGCTCCCAGGGCCCCAACTCGACAAGAGAGGGAAGTACAGCTACTGAAGAATGATCTGCACAAGGACCTGCTGTGTCTTCCTGCAGTGCTGATTGTGGCTGATCCTGGTCCAGCTTAGGTTGGACCAAAGCGGCTGAGGAGCTGTAGTGCCTGCACCTTGCAAAATTGGATGAGCTACATCATGTAGAAATACTCTGGGAGAGGCATGAGCCATGCTGGATGGAGCTTGATGGGCCTCAGACCCTCCTCTGGCTCTTCTTGCTGGAAGTGATGACACGCTTTGAGGCCCGTGTGTTTCAGCAGGAGCTGAGGACTCTCAGTGCACCCAAAAAGCAGATCTTGCAAACACCCTTGAGCTGCCCATGGCTTGCTCCAAAGTGCCCTTTCAATCTGCATCTGATTGCCTGGAGGAGAAATTCAAGGGCATTCTAGGGTTCTGTAAACCCATGCAGATGCCTCATGGCATCTAACAGGTGTCCCTGTGCGTGGTACCTGGGGCCTGGCCAAGGATGCTGCACACGTGGGTGCCGTGCTCTAGTGCCTTCAGCACTGCTGAGCATCCAGAAGTCGGCTTCAATGATCCTTGTGGGCCCTTTTCAACTCAGGATATTCTGTGAAACTCTTGCATTTAACGCAGAGGGGTGGTGGCTTCTGGCACACGTCTGTGGTGCTGGCAGGGGCTGCAGGGACCTCGGGCACTGCCATTGCTGCTTTGGGGTGACTGGAGGCTCTCACACGGCCTGGGCTGGCAGGGTAGTGCCATCCCACGTGGATCTCCACATGTGCTTTGCAGAAGCAGTGTGATTCCTCGCTCCTCTATTTTGGGAGGCGGGTGTGGGAAGTGGTGTGAAGCTGTGTCCCGAGCAGGCTCAGAAACCAACACACAGGCTGAGAATTTTAGTTTTGTAACACCTCTGATGCTGGGAGCAGTAGGTGGCACAAGGTTGTCCTGGCCCTTGCAGGAAAGACTCCTCTCTCCCTGGTGTCAATCTGCCCATGCTCCCATTAAATCCCTGTGTTAATTCCTGGCTGCATTTTGACTCATGAGGAGTGGCTGGGTTGGGTGAGAAGCACCCAGAGGGATTGACGCCTTGCTGTCAGTCCCTCCAGCTCCACACTGACCTGCTTCTCTCAGGAGGCTCCTAGTCTCAGCTCCACAGTGCTGGTGGAGGCACTTCCACAACCCTTTGGCCCCTCTGCTTTGGGATGGGTCCTCTCTGCAGGCAGAGGAGCTGCTCTCTGCTACTTGCCTTCCTCTGCCTTCCAGCCTTGGCCTGGAAGTGCTGGAGGATGCTTAGGAAGTCCCAGTGCTCAAAAGAGAAAGAACTATGCAGCACCTGGACTGATGCTGAACATCTTGTTACCTCCCCCTTCTCCTTTTTTGAGACACCAACTTCAGTGCCAGAACGATTTCCTTCCCAGAGATCAGCTTTCAGTGGGCACCTTGGATTCCTTGCCCCCCTTCTTGTGACACTTTGCTGTTATTCATTTTGACTTTTCCCCACTGGAACAAGTCCCTTGTGGGCTCTGTGCTGCTCAGCAGCAGGGCTTGTTCATCACAACATCTCCCAGTCCTGGCTCCCAGAGGGCTTCTACTTTAAGAGTGAAAAATGTTGTTCTCTGGGCACCATGGTCCCGGGAAGTCGCCTCAAATCACTCACTAAAACTGAAGGTGGTGGAATAGATAATTTTGGGTCTTTTGGGATCTCTTGGGGGTTATTATGAGCAGAATCTCTCATCCAGAAACGAAACTCATCCTTAGATAATAAGCTGCAAAGCTAAAGACAGTTATTCTTTGGGGAGCAAGTCATGAAAGGGACTGAATGCCCAGCTGGGAATAGAGCATCCAGGTTGTGTTTGTGCAGGGAATACTTGCAGCTCGGCACGCTGACAGGCAGGCACAGCTCGAGTGTGTCCCTCATATGGCTTTAGAAAGGCGAGCAGAGTTACCCTGAGCACCTGCTGTGATTTAAAACAGGGAGCGTGACCTGAGTCACCTGGGAATGTTGGAAAATGTTGATCTCCCTGACAGTCAGAGAAACATTCCAGATAAATACCTGGGAGAGCTGCAGAGTTGCTGGCACTGGTCCTCAGGGGGGTGAGGAAATATTGGCACTTCCATGGGGGTGCTGTGGGGGCTGCGCTGGCTCGTTGCTGGCTGGATCTGCCCCTTCATGCCTCAGTCTCACCTCTTTGCACGGTTTCTCTGTCTTTTCCTTTCTGCTGTGCTTTTTGCCTCCCCCACAAGCTGTTCATCTCTGTCCTCTGCAAGCAGTTGCAGCTGCCTGCACTGCTGCTACCCCAGCATCATCCCTGGGCTGCTCCGAGCATGGACCTGCTCCAGCCTGGTTTTGGAGCAGCTGGATCCGACTGATTCTGAGCTCACCACCCCAGCACCCACCCAGGGGCCGCATCCTCACAAGGAGCAGCTCGTGCAGGTGTCCCTCCCTCCCACTGCGGGTCCCTGATCATTGTTACATTATTTTCCAGGTTCACATCTTCACCACCTAAATTCGAAGGAGGAGAGAGGCCTCCAGGTGCCACGGGTGAGAAGCTGTGAAGGGCTGTGACATCCTCTACCAGCCCTGAATGTAACCAAAGCGAGCTCCTATCTGCCTGCCACGGACAGGGGAAATAATCAGGATGTCACCTTGTGTCCCTCAGTCACGAAGAGTAGGATTGGGTGAGTTCTTTAACCAGTAGAACTGTTGTAAATGGGTTTTGAGAAAGTAACAGTGAATGGAATGTTGAGGGCTTTGTAACCAACTTTGTAAAGAATCAAACTGACTTAATAAAGACCTGTATCCTCTTAAGCCAAGCCTGCATATTAGGTGGAATCATTGCTCCGTGCATGCAGTGCTGCTAATAAATACCTGCTTCTCAATGCTACACAGGTGTTAAGGAGTTTATTCCTGATTTCCAGGGACAGGACCAGATCTAATATCATTGTCTCTTTTATATTTCCTGCTTCCCAGCAACAAAACCACAAGCTCGCCTTGCTTTCAGCAGTCTCCCAGGATCTGACAGCCCTCGGGTCTCTTGGGGAATATGGGTGTGTTAGTTTAAAAAAGAAAAAGAAATCTTAATTTTTAGGGTTCAGGCGGGGCACTTTAACTGCACTTTTTTATTGCCGTTCTTTACACATGTTCCTTTTTCTAGGGGTGCTGAAGCACACCTGTCTCTTTCTCCAAATTTTTTGTATTTACTCAAAGCTGTATCCAACCTGCTCCTCATGTGAATCCAGCTTGCTCCTCGTGGCCTGTAGGCAGAACTGCTGCCCACTTTAACAAGGAAAAAGCACTGTGAAGTGGCTCATTAATGAGCATTAGATGACTGACTGTGAGTGTGGCTTTGAAAACACGAGAGGAAGGGAAAAATTCCCTGAATTCTCCTGGCTGTGTCAGAGTGGCTGCTGTGTCACGCCACCATGGGGACAGAGCCAGCGAAGAGGCAGATAATGCGAGGGAAGGTCATCTGCAAATTCACTTCTCGTTTCTCTCGATATGCACTTATCTTTCAGGGAAATCCCTTCCCGCGTGGAGAAGCCTCTGGATCGCATCCCGGCATTTAACAGCGTGACCCCGCGGGCTGCAAACGAGCACGTTCAGCAGCTTTCCCACGAGCCTCCGCCGTTCCCCCGCCCCATGGCCGTGTGTTTTGGGGTCCCGGTGCCCGGGCTCGCCCCCGGCCGGGACGAGGCTCATTCCAGCGCCAAAGTCCCGCCGGCGCTTTTCCCGGAGCCGGGATGATCCCGGCAACATTCCAGGGTCACGGCGCTCCCGTGTGGCCGCGCTCCGCCACTGCAGCGCCGTGACCGCCGGCATTCCCAGCGCCGGCATTCCCAGCGCCGGCATTCCCACTGCCCTGTGCTCCCCCGCCCCTTGGATTCGGGACACCCTCCTGGCTACACCCTCCTTTCAGGTAGTTGTAAAGAGTGATGAGGTCTCCCCTGAGCCTCCTCTTCTCCAGGCTGAACAGCCCCAGCTCCCTCAGCCTCTCCTCACAGGACCTGTGCTCCAGTCCCTTCCCCAGCCTCGTTGCTCTTCTCTGGACCTGCTCCAGGGTTGGACTTGATGATCTCGGACGTCCCTTCCAACCCAGCTGATTCTATGATTCTATGTCCTTCCTGAACTGAGGGCCCAGAACTGGACACAGCACTCCAGGTGTGGCCTCGCCAGCGCTGAGCCCAGGGGCAGAATCACTTCCCTGCTCCTGCTGCCACACTGTTCCCGATCCAGGCCAGGATCCATTGGCCCTCTTGCCCCCCCGGGCACACTGCTGGCTCATGCTCAGCTTCCCGGTCTCCCCTCAGCCCCTTCCCTCGAGCCCCTCAGGGGCGGGGTCCCGTGGGCGGGGCGAGGGTGTCCCGTGGGCGGGGCCAGGGGGGGCGTGGGCGGGGCGAGGGAGGTCACGTGGGCGCGCCGCCGGCGGGGTCACGTGGGCGCGGTCCCGGGCGCGGTCACGTGGCCGCCCGGCGGCGGCGGCGGCGGGGCCATGAACACCGAGCGGGACCTGGCGCCGCTGGCGCCCGGCGTGGTGCGGGCGCTCACCGACAAGCTCTACGAGAAGAGGAAGGTGGCGGCCCTGGAGATCGAGAAGTGAGTGGCGGGAGGTGCCGGGAAACCGGCGAGGGCAGCGGGAGTCGAGGGCGGCGCCGCCGCTGCGGGGATGGGGCCGGAGAGGCCGACCCGGCTCCCCGGGGAAGGGCGGGGAGGGGTGTTGGCGTGCCGGGGGCTCCCCGCGGCCCCAGCGTGGCGGGAGCCGGTCAGGGATCCTTGGGGTGGGTCCAGCTCCCACCGGGCGGGGGGCGGCGGGAGGGACCGGCCCGGCTGTGCCCGGTGAGAGCCGGGGGCTGCGGCGGTGGGAGTCACCCCGGGGGGACCTGGGAGGCCCGGAGTAGGGGCAGCGGGTGACCCCGGTGGGAGCTGGGGGCTTCGGGGGTGAGGGTCACCCTGGGGGGGCCGTGGGGATCCAACGTGCCGAGGGAAGGGGTGACCCCAGTGGGACCTGGGGGCTTTGGGGCTGGAGGTCACGCTGGGGGGACCGTGGGTCTGTGTGGTGCCGGGGAAAGGGGTGACCCCAGTGGGCCCTGGGGGCTTCGGGGCGAGGGTCATTATGAGTGGTCCATACGTGGGACTCTGTGGGCCCAGCAACCCCGGGAAGGGGCTCAGGTGACACGGTGACCCTGTCGGAGAGAGTGCCTTTGGGGGTGCCAGGGTACGGGGCTCTCCCCCCAAGCTGCTCCCTCTCTCCCAGCCCCGTCCCACCGGGCACTGAAGTTTATCCCCTGGGTGCCGGTGAGGACCCGCCGGCTCCGGGTGCGTGTCCCTGGGCAGGGTCGTGCCCACGGGCCCCTTGCAGAAGGCCTGGTCTGACGGTGGGTCCCTGGTGCAGTTGCACAGCTCTGTGTGAGGTGAAAGTGTGAGTGGCATCACCGCAGGAATGCACTGGAGATGCGGTGCTTGCTGTGCTGTGACATGGCCAACTCCACACCCTGCTCTGGTTGGGGCTGGGGGACATGAGGGTCTCACTGGGCAGCAGCAGGAGCCACAGTGGGGACAGCAGAGCCCACCTGTGCTCATTGCCCATCTCATGTCAGCCTGGGGCCATCACCTCATGGTGCCATCCCACCTCTCCCCGGAGGGCTCACCCCAACCATTCCCACACTGGTTCTTGGCTAGAGAGGTGGGAAGTGCTGCTGTCACCCTTGGGAGTTCTTTGGTTCTTCCTGCACAGCTGCTGTTGCAGCAGAGCTCGGGCCTGCCTTTCTGAGCATCCCAGGCAAAGGTCTGCTGGCACCTGCTGTGCCCCTCTAGTGTTGCCTGTACGTGTTTCCCGCATGTCCCAGTGCAGGGTTGGGAGCAACAATCCAAGCTGGCGGGTGAGTTTTGGGTGGGAGATGCGTCCATGGCGGGCCTGCAAGGGGAGCAGCCTCTCGTGGCAGGCAGTGATGTGGGGATGGAGCTGCTCTGCTGAGGGTTCAGTGGAAATGTGATGTGGGACCTGCCTGCCCCGAACGCGGAGGGTCCTCTGTGGGAGGGGGTGTGTGGGAGCACAGAAAGATGGCTCTGGGATGGGGTGTTTGGTACAAACTCAACCCAGTGAGCCCCTTCTGCTGTGCTGTGTGTTTACCTTTCCCTCATTTTCTCTCTTTGTTAAAGGAATAATTTGTTGTGGGTGAGTTGCAGGGTGAGACACTGTTGCAGTGTCCTCATAACTCCAGCCTTGGTGGTACTTCAGTAACTGCCCCTTCACTGCACTGTGAGAGGGGTGATACTCCTTGTCTTGTCCAAGTAGCTCTGCTCTGACTTACTCTGCCCCAGGGTTGGGGGTTTGTGCTTGGCTTATACCAACCAAAGTCTGCTTTGGGGTCAGACAGTTCAGCTAATCAATCTGCAAACATGATTTGGGAAGGGTATGAGGAGGAAGGCGGCAAGGGCCAAACTTTTCTGCAGATCTCACAGGTTTAGATCATCCAAAACCCATCACAGAACAGCCCCAGCAGCATCTCTCCCATGTCCATGGCATTGAGCCAGGAGGAACTTGCTGTCTCTCAACTCAGGAACCTCCTTGTCCTCTGACTGGTGATGCAGGAGCAGCAGCTCCTGCTGCTTTTAGGCTCTCTGATGCTGCACTTCACTTTCCACGGCTTTTTGCCTCGTTAATTAAATCTTGAACCCTTTAAGGAAGTCTGTAAACTTATTCACATTCAAGCAAAGCTCCATCCATGAAATGCAGGCAGTAAAGTGATCACCCCAATGGTCTGTCTTGCTTGAGCTCAGTGTGTTCCTCTTTTTGGAGCAGGACTGGAGATGGAGCCATTTTCCCTAAATGAGCAGTTTGGGAGAAAGGGTCGGGCTGTAACTGTTGGAGAACTTGGCTTTGGAGTAGGAAGAGTAGGGAGGGGCTCCCTGGTGCCCCTGGGGGGAAAGGGAGCAGCTGCTAAGGTCAGAGCAGAGCTGGTGTTCATAATCCTGGGAAGGAAAGTTCATGAACATTTTCTGTAATGATTTTCCTGGATTATAAAGTGCGTAACTGGCCGGTGGCCCCTGTTTGGGAGAGGGCAGTGTGAGATCCACATAGTGCCAAAGAAACCTTGTATGGAGTTAGACAGTGAAAGCTTTTTCACCTCTATAGGCAATGAAGGTGAAGGTTAGTGATTTAGGCGGAATTTTTGAGGTGCCTGGGTCTTGTATTGTGGATAGAAGTCCAAGAAAAATGGAGGAAAAGCAGCACTGCATTGGCCGGGAATCGAACCCGGGCCTCCCGCGTGGCAGGCGAGAATTCTACCACTGAACCACCAATGCTACAGCTGCCTCCACATCTGGCTCCACATCTGGCTCCACAGCTGCCTGTGCCTCCCTGCCTGGCCAGCAGCTCTGCCGCAGGGAAACCAGGGCCAAAGGGCTGCACGGACGAGCTGGGACCTGGAAGCAGCTCCGTAGGCTGGAGCAGGGCTGGAGCTCGTTCATCTGAGCACGGGTGATGCATTAATTATCTCTGGGTAACGA